TGGAAATGGAATCCCTATTTTTAGCATGGCTTGTAAACACAGGCCATGTGCTTTGAGATGCACTTAACAGCCTGTATGTGCCTACTCAGCAGGAGTGATTCTCTTGTGGCTTTGACAGGATGTGCAGAGTAGACTTCAGTCTGAGACAAGGAAGGGGCTTAGATGGCTGTTTTCTTGGTCTGGACAAGGAGTTTCTGTTGCGGCTGAAGCAATACCGTGACACAGGGGTAGTTTTGAATATCCTGACAGTCTTCCTGTATTGCAAGCAGGAGTGTGCCATTGACCAAGTGATTCCAATTTTAGAGATACATTGTCACTGTTACCTTCTCTTCTGTGATCCCTGGGCCTTGCTACAGGGCTTAGATTTATATTAATACAGGTTCAAGGGGTAGGAGCAGTATGATACAGTGAAGTGGCAGGTGGGAAGACAAAGAAGAATGCATAATTCATCTGAAATTATGCCTTACCATTCCTTACGAACCCCTGCAGTATGCTTTTCACTAAGGATAACATTCAGGAAGGGCAGGAATTGAATGCTGCTGCTTCCTCTTGTCTCAGCTTTTACTGCTTGTGATCCTCACGGTGCAGGATCTGCTGCTGTAGGTGGTGGCAGTGATGAGGGCCTGTGCAGCAGTGCTCCTGTCAGAGGGGTAGTCTGTAGCTAGAAGCCTGATTCACTGCACAGTCCTTATTCACCCCTTAACACCCATGCATTTTTGTGCACTGAACAAAAGGCTGTCAAGAAGACAAAGAGCAGGGAAGGGGAGAGCATGTGTTTCTGTAATAAAATTAGTGTCCTTCTTTTTGAGGGAAGACTGCAGAGGGAGGAAGGAGCTGTGCTGTGTTCCTGTGGCAGGCTGGGAACCCGAGCAGTAGGTTGAGTCCTGAGCCTGGGGACAGCTGTGTCTGGTGTTCCTCTGCTGTGCTCACAAGGAGATCAGCCCAGAGCCCAAAGGCTAGGTGTCCTGCGTCAGTGACAGATGTTAGGGGAAAAAAAACGAAATGATTTTCATACTGATCAGAGGGATTGTTGCCGATGGTTGTGCTAGGGTTGTTTCTGAGCCAACGCCTGCCTCTTCAGAGAGGGAGGGTTTTTTCAGCCCAAAGCCACATTTGGTCAGGGAGTGGCAAAAATGCTGTTAACACTCAGGAGCTTTGCTTGTAAGTAGTATGTTAAATGAACACCTAGAAGTTTAGGTTAAAGTTGCTGGCATAAATTTCTACTTCTCTGTCTGCCCCACTTTTGCAAATAATACTACCTTTTCTTACATCAGTTTTTAACATACAACATTTAAATACAGTGTACAGATGGTATGTTTTTGTCAACAAGGAACAAGCTGTGACCGTTTGGTGTAGGTGGGAGGAAAACACCATAAGGAACATTCCTGTTTCCTTGAGCATCTTTTGTCAATGGTGAGAAGTCTAGGAAAGTCTCCCTCATCACAAAACCAGGATGTGTTGGAATTGGAAGAGATTCAGAGAAGGGCAACAAAGCAGGTAGCCATCAGAAAATCACAGGAGGAATGATTAAATCTTCACACTGGAAGAGAAGTGACTGAAGGGGAGCGTGTTGGAGTCTGCAGAGCCACGAGCAGCCTGGAAGGGGTGGAAGGGTGGTCAGCTCTGCACTGCAGCACCTGTTGCAGGGGTGAGGGAACGTCTGGCGAAGCTAAGTACACGATCAGCAAAAGTAGCCGATTCCTCATGCCAGTTCCCTATAGCAAAGCTGTATATTGTCTCTCTGAAGGCTGTTGTGGATGCTAAGAGTATAGGTGGGCTCAAGGGAAAAATGGGTGAGCTGATGGAGGTGCTGCCTTGTTCTAAATGCACAGAAATAATAACTGCCTCAGGAGAGCCCCTAAGGTGAAAGCAGCTTGAGGCTGGAAAAATGTGCTTTCCTTGTTCTGTCCCTACTGTAGACATCTGCGTATGGCTGCTGTTGGAGATGAGATACCAGGCTAGAAGGCTTCTCCTTCTGAAGTGCTGTGTCCCTTCTAACATTAGGGTGGATGCACCTGATGCTTTCCTTTTGAGAAACTGCAGTGCCAGCAGAGATCAGAGGTGCTCTTTGTTCACTGCTGGCATCATACCTGTCTTTGCCCCATGCAGACTTAGCAAGCAAGGGAGTATTTGTACCACCTTGTGAATAATTCTGGTGCCTGAAGAGAAGGTTTTTTCCCCAAGGCTCCATGCGTAGTCAGTGTAGGAGTGAGGTGATTGAGAGCTCTTTAATTGGCGCTGAAATTTCAGAAGCCTGAAAAAGCTTCCCTGTTGTGGCTGGCCAGTAGTTGTGGTAGTTCCTCACAGCTTCCCAGCTGAGAGAGCCTGCTAAGGTAGATACTGCCATACTCTCTGCCAGTGTCCCATGTCATGAATATCTAGGTTCTTCCTTATGCCAGGCATGAGTGTGCCTTGTGGCATCTGTACATTTTGCAGCCCTCACTTTAGTTCTGAGGCATTTCATCTGGAAATTTGACTGCTGGGCTGGAAATGCTTCAGTTCAGACATCTGCTGGCTTCTCCTTCTCCCTCTGCTATCATCATTGTGAAGTACTTCTGGAAGGTACTGCTGATAGCTTGTAATAGTATTCTCGCCTATAATTTCCATGGTCTTGCTTCTAACATTTAATTGCCGAGAGGTGAGAGCTTTCCTATTTTATCTTGCCCTAATAAAATCATCAGCTGTGTGTATATGAAAGAGGAAATGGAGGGGGAAAAAAAAAGAAAATCCAGAGCTTGTTTTCCCCTCAGCAGAGTCAGGAAGAGTGAATGAAAAACAAAACCTGGGTTTTTTTTTTTTGTCTCAGGTGACAGAAGGTGGAAAGACTCCTCAAGGTGATGCCGGGGATTTAGAGAGAGCAGGAGAAATCCTAAGGCAAACACAGTAGCTGTTAGAGGTTGCAGGAGAGGACATTCCCTATGGTATATGTGAAGGACAAGATGATTTGGAAACCCTGTAATCTTTGTTGCACAGTTACTGGAGTATTCTGACTGGTCAACTTATCATCCTTAGTGGTATGTGAGAAACAGAGGGAAGGGATTCACTTGGCTAACAGTCAGACTCTTGGCAATTTTTGCTGTGCAACACTGGCTTACATGTGTGTATTTATATCACTGCCTTAAGGCATGGGGTGTGGGGGGAGCCCACATGAAGTATGTAGTTCTGAAGTATTTATTGTGGCAAAAGATCATGGCTGGTTGCACCTTTGCCTTTCTGAATGTGGGGATTACTTGGGCTGTGTCTAATCAGGAAGATTTTTAAAGCAGCCTGAAAGCTTTGTTCAGTTTTGAGGTCTTGATAAAATAAAAGGTACAAAGATTTCTAGCCTTTTAGCAATCCTCAGTTTTGTGGCCCATATAGAAGGCTACCTGGAAAACACTATCCAGATGTTATTGACTTCAATTTTTCAGTAGGCTCTGTTACTGAGCTCTGACATTGACAGTGTCACACGTTTATTTCTCAGTGAGATGGATGTCTGTGGCACCAAAATAAAAGTACGTTTAGCACTTACTCTAGTGACAACTGTTTGTTATTGTGAATTACTACACCTTAGTTCAAGCAATAGAGATACTGTTTTTCGTTAAATTGGACTATACTCTTTTTCCTGCCTTCTTTCCTGCTTTTTTGACCTAGGTAATAAAGCAAAGTAAGTACCAGGAATGCAAGCAAAGATAACACAATATAAAAAAACCTTTGAAGGCTGATGGGCAATTAAGGTGCCTATGGAAAAGCTGTTTAAGAAAGCCACTATTCTGTTCTGATGTCCCTGAGGTAATTGTCAGACTGCATTAAAGTCAGGTTTTCGGCTCAGATTCTTGTTGGGTTAAGTTCTTTGTCCCTGTGTTTTAAGTTGTTTTCCTAGGCCAGAGGAAAAGGATGGACTAAAATATTTCCTGATCATTTGTTGCATGTGAACATCTCCATTGGTGAAAAAATTAAGAATATTTTAACTGTTGAATTGCTTGTGTTTTCAGTTTGCAAGGCATGTGTGCTGGGCAGAGGTGAAGCAACTGTGGTTTGAGGTCATGTGTGGATCTGTGACTTGGAGCTGCTGGGATTAATCAATCTTTGGTTTTGCTTTCTGCAGTAACCAGCCCTTTCATGCAGCTGAGAGTACAATTCTTGAAGAGCGACCAGCCTCTGCTTCCAAAGCAGGTTTATTTTTCACTGTAAACATAAAACATGTACTCTTACTTTCTTCTAGCTTAAAACTAGAGACCGATATATTAATAGCCTGAAAAAGAAATGCCAGAAAGAGTCTGAGCAAAACAAAGAAAAACAAAGGCGAATTGAAACCTTAGAAAAATATCTGGCTGACCTACCAACGCTGGACGATATAGAAGGGCAGACTAAACAGGTAAGGTAAAGGGAGTTTGTTTTACATTTTAAAAAGACAAGTAAGCTCCCTAATATCTGTTGTTAGATATTTTACTGGTTTGACATAATTTTTTTCCCCATCTGTTTAGGAAGAGAAGTATTTCAGTACTTTAGAAAGCACTGTAGCTATTAGGGATTCTCATACTCAGATAAGTGAAATGGCCATAAGATTATACAGAAGGTAACTGTAAGGCAGTGGCCTGCTGCAAGGCTGCCTACTGATGTGGCATCGTGTCTGACTAATGTAACCTGTGTTAGCTGCAAATTCTAGAAGAGAAGAACAAGCAACTTGAAGAAACGATGACTGAGTTAGAAAAGAAGCTTGGAGAGGCCCGATCGCAGTGCAGAGAGAGAGAACTGCAACTGGTGTGTCAGAAGAAAAAAGAAAAAGAGCTGGTCACAACAGTACAGAGGTACGGACAGCTGCTCGGGCTGTGCCCTGAAACGGGTGTACTTTCCCACCTGATGTCAGGACCTGATGTTACTTGCACTCTTAATCTATTGCAATGCTGATGATTTTTTCATGGCATAAATATATTACTGTGCAGAATGACAGTGTAATGCAATAGAAAATCCAACAAAAATTTTATTTGTGTCACGTTGCAAGTAATACCATACAAGAGGAGAATCTGCCTGGGACATTCTTCACTATCTTTTCTTGAAGATGTGGGACACCACTGCAATGGCATCATAGCTTGCTGCCAGATAGAGGGTGGAATAAACATGTGCAGCAAAGGGGCGTTATATAGAAGCTGTCAGCACTCCTGTTTGATAACTGATCCTGTCACAAGCTGTGGAAAAGCTCCCTGGATATTGGCTGATGGGTATATCAGGGAAGGGTCAAAGATTTAAATAAATTGTGGTGGTTTCTTACCTTGTCACTGAGGGTGGGGGTATTTACAGGGACATTTAGCTGTAGCTAAGCTGCTGTCATTGAACTTGCATAACTATGAAAAAAGAAATGGGACAGATATCCATGAGAAGATTACAGATGAGACGTGGAGACATTGCTACTATGGTACATTTTAGATCAAGGGAGCTACTTAAACACTTATTTCTAAAAAAAGGGAGAGGGGGGAAGGAGCGATGAATCACTTCTAATAATTTATGTGGATGTTACTACAGTTCACTGTCCCTCCATTGGGTAAAGAGGCATGCCACAGGAGTCTGAAAGTGTTTCCATGATGAAAGTCAAGCTGGTTGGGACACCTTGCCAGCCAAATTGTTGATGCATTGTTTCCATCTTACCAATGAAAGGCCTTTTTTCTTCATGTCCTCATAATCTAGAGGGGGATCATTTTGTCTTTTCTGAAAGCCTACGAATAGTTGAGGTGGGCTCTGGTTTCTAAATTAGACAGCAAGATTAACACTAATAAAATGTGTTTCATTTCTGAGAGAAGGTGAGCAGGCAAAGTCTGTAGCTACACCTAGGAGCTTGAGTTGAGCTACAGAGGGTCTGAAGGTCATGCCCTTGTGTGGGAGCAGCTGGCAGCAGTGGCTTTATGTTCCGTTCCCCCTTACAAGTCACAGAGGCCATGAAGGATAGGCCACCAGTACACGGTGCAGCCTCTGATTCTGGACTCCACTTTGAGTTGTACGTGCCCCAGTGGGACAGTCAGATTTTAAAGGTCCTGTAACTTTGAGAGGTTTGAAGACTCCTCTGATCTGTGCTAGTGCCGGCTTTGCCTCCCACAGTAGCACAGAGCAGCTGTGAACACCACAAAGCTTTTCTTGGCTCCTCTCTGCCTTCTCTCCCTACGCTGTACTGCCGGAGCTGTGCCTTTTGGGAGATGCAGCACAGAATCTGGCCCATAAAACCGTTCCTGCATGAATCTGTTCTTGTCAGTGCTGTAGTAACTCCAGTAGTTTAGGATTTTTGTATCATTCATCCACTGTTGGTTTGCTCATTCATAAGGCTGGATTCTGCTAGGTACGGTTTTACAGTTCTCGTTTGGAAGGTGGTGCAACTTTCTAATTTTTCACTAGAACACAGCGCCTTAATTTTTGTTTCATGTTGAACGGCAGTTTACAACAGAAAGTAGAAAAATGCCTGGAAGATGGTATTCGCCTCCCCATGTTGGACACAAAACAGCTTCAGAGTGAGAATGAGTGTCTCAAAGAAAAGAATGAGAAAGCCAGTAAGGTTAGTCTGCAAATGATCTGTTGGTGGCATCTCTAACCTTGAGTCTTGCATTTCTGTAGTTTTTTACTTTAGAAATAAGTATCTCACTAAAGAATTACACATTTGTTGCTAATTCAGATTTCTTTTCAATGCCTGTGTTTCTGTTCAGTACGTTTATTTTGCATGAATTTCATATTCTGTCAGAGTTAAACTCTGTCTTGTCATTTACAATTTCAAAGATTCTATTTAAAATCTATGGCTACATACCTGTAAGCTGTAAAATGGATCTGAAATGATTCAAGCCTTAAAAATTACTCAATTTTATATTCCAGGTCATAGACAATCAACAAAATCAGATAGCTGGATTGATTTTAGACATGCAGGTAAGGAAGAGTGTATATTCTGTTGTTTACTCTGTACATTTTTAGTTCGTAAAGATAACATTACTGAAGTTGAATTTTGTCCTTTTCTTTTCCCAAATAGGGAGCAGAAGTAGAAATGCCAAGAACTTAATGTAGTGGCCTATAGTTGACCTGTGTTCTCTTGCAGGTTCTTAATATATTCTTTATTGGTGTTCGTATAGTTGAGCACTTTGCTGGTACTCAAAGTGAAAAACTGTTGGTGGCATCCTTATTCTGCTGGTCTAGTGGATGGCATGAGAACTGCCTGTTTCAAGTGTGAGGACTGCCTCTGTAAGTAACAGTGAAGCGTCCCATCCAACTCTGGGCTTCAGATGATCATCTGAAGTACAAAAAGTGATACTGATTAGGAGCTTCACTGCTGAGATCCTTAGAAGAGACAGGTGCCTTTCTAAACAATGCCGCTTCACATTTCATATCGTTTAAGCAGGTCCGTGTTCAACTGGTTTCTGACATGTCACTCAGCTAGCTAACTCTATTGGCAGATCTTGGGCATCTAGCTTGGAGCCAAGGATTTTTCAAGACGGCAGAGGTTGGCAGCTAGGAGTCAGTTGCAGCTCTGTGGGTGGAATTAACACATCAGGCTCCTGAGACTTGAAAGTTACTTAGTTACCAATGTTTGTTGTGGAGAAAAGGAAACATTATACAGGTTATAAGGAAGAAGGTATGACTTGCTCTAGAACAAGCCGAGCATTTAAAAAAGCAACCTCTGTTTTCAGTAAATAGTGAAGCCAAATTCAATAAATTCTAGTTCCTGCCTTATTGTTCTAGGTTGCCATTTGTCTCCACGTTTTTTGCTTCCTTGCCCTCCAGAGAGACTGAAGTTACAGGGTTGTCCCTTAAGAATGAAGAAGATGCTTCTGCTTTGGCTCTGTATGTGTTAGTTTTAGAAGAATAACAAAATGGTAGTAAACAGCCAGGTGAATGCCTGCTTCTTCTGAAGTGGAAGGGAGTACTCTGTGGAGCTAGAATCCGAATAATGAAGAGATGCCAAACCGCTTGCATAACACTTGCTAAGAGAACGTGCTTGTTTATTTCCACTTTGCACACTGGAGCCAAGTTTGCTTATTTGCAGTTGTTGAAAGTAAGTTGTCTTTCACCATTAAATTGCTTTCTTCCAACCAGGTTAATAGCAGGCCTGATTCCTGTTGACAGCCGTGTTTTTGCTTGATTAAATTACAATGTATTAAATACACCTGTAGAGAAACAGTGGAGGAATTTAAGTTGCAAGATATCGTTAACGTCTGTTAACTGAAAAGTAAAATCAATCCTTTAAGCTTCTCTAGATTTAGAGAAGACAGAATTTATCATGTGGCAACGTTTTCACAGAGCAACCTGTTACATGCAAAAACTGTGACACCGGCAAATGCTGCTTTGGATATTTCATAATGAAAAAAAAACCGTTTAAATTGAATTCCATAACCTTTCTGAGGTTCTCTGTCCCCCTTCGTTCGTTAAGGTCATTTACGTGTATATAAGCATATATATGTTGTGCTTGTGTTTACGCACAACTTGCCTAAATGTATTATCACCAACATAAATCTTTTCATATTTCCTAAACTTTCTGATCTTTGTCTCTCCATCATCTTTAAACTAGTGATCTTTGTGCGTGTTTATGCAGGTGGCTGTTTTTTGTGCTTAGTCTGAAGTGACTTTAAGGAGCTGAGACTGGGAAATGCTGAGTATCTGTGACAGTCTGTGAACAGAGTAGTGTTCTGTTCTCCAGGACTTCCTCTTACTTTTCCTTTTTTGAGGTATTTTATATAAGGACAGAAAATAAGATTTTAAAATGGTGTTAGCTCTCAAATCAGTTGTAGACTACAGCAGCTTCTTTGTATCCTTGATCTCCCTGGCCTTCTGCCTTTGTTCCCTGGGAAGCATTGAAAATCAGTTCATTAGAAGCCAAAATCCCTTATCAGCACAGAAATACAATTTATCTTCAGCTCAGATCATCTCATTTTATTCCCTGTCTTCTGCCACATTGTGAACTTATGCTTGAGAATGTATTTCAGTTCATTGTTCTTAACTTGCAAGCTGAAAAGAAAGAGATTCTGTTTCAGACAGCGGTGTATGAAGCAGTACCAGCTTCTATTTGCCCATAATCATGGTGGAATGATTTTGAGCTTCCTTGTATGGTTTTGCTTGGTTCATTTGTTCTCCTTAGTGTGAGGGATTAAAATTCTGGTTGGCCTTGACAGCATGTCATACTGCATATGTAGCACCTCTTCAGAAAGAGAAAAATTACAGATGAGAGTGGTGTTAAAAAACAAAACAAAACAAAATCTGTATTTATACGTTTAATTTAGATATCAGAAAATTAACGGGTTTTGGTACAAAAAAAGGCAGTAGAACTCAGTCAGATTGTATGATGCCTGTGTTACTCAAAGTACATCCTGTCAGTCACAATGAACCCAAGCTGTACTAGGCTGGGAGTAATGCCTCTAAATTGTAACTTTGGAAAGCATAGGGAAAAAATAAGGGTGAAGTATGGAGGACTCGTAGCGCTATGAGCAACTGGGAAATCATAGCACTGTGGGCTCAGCCAAGCTGGTAAGCACATGTGCTTTTTCTGAGCTTTAAGGTTAGGGTAGCAGAGAATGATAGATGTTAGGTGTGTCTTTTAGAAATAAACAGTGATTTCCTGTTAAACAGTGCAACTCGTGAGCTGAACGTGTGCACATTATTTGGAATATTCTAGAAGTTGGTTTTGGAGTGGTTTGCACAGTCATGTAAATTTAATGGCAGATGTAGTTCTGAAAAACACACTGGGGAAGGCCATGTTTCTGAACCCATCTTCCATGCCACCTGCCCACCTTCAGGGAGGCTGCCAAGTCAAACCTTTGATGTCTGGTGTTGACACCAACATGAAACGTGTAAGTGATAGTACTAATGCATGTATTGTAACTGGGGCTCTGGGTGTCCCTGAACCTGCTCATCATCAAAGGCTTAAAATCTGAAGATCCTTGGAAGCTGGGAGGGCCTTTTGGGCACCTGTGTTGCCCTGTTCTCCTCCCCTTTCCTAATCATCATCTGTTTGGCTGCTGCCACAGGCAGAGCTAGAGGGACCTTCAGTCTCACCCGATACGGCCGTGTTTCTCAGTAGATAATGTTTTTAAAAACGAAAGAAGGCAGTTCAACACCACTGCAGGTTCTGCTCATCTGCAGGCACGCCAAAGGAAATGCCTGAAGCAGAGCTATTTCCTGCCCTCTCCCGCCCCAGGGTTTCCTTTGACGTGGGGCAGGGCCCTCTTTCTTCCTCCCCTTCCTCCCACTGGAGTGTGAAGCTGTGCTTTCTCGCACAGCTTATCTTTAGGATGCATGTTATTTCAGCACTTCCTTTTGAGGGGCACGGCGTGGGTGAAATGAGAAGCAGGTCAAGTGTGCGAAAACCCGTTTTAAAAGCAAGTAGTCATTTCTGGGTTCTGCCCCCTGATTCTTATTACTTACATGAAAATAATGTTTGGGTTTTTTTAGTCCGTATTAAGTGTGTAAATTTTAGCACCATTGTTTCCCAGTTTTGCAGAGGGTATGACAAAGTACTGTCTTTTCTCACGGTTTGTGCAGTGTTGAGCTTAACGCGTTGGGAAATTTTGTCAAGGCTGCGCACCTCCCGTGAGCGGCCAGGCCATTGAAAACTCCACTTGATGTCGGCCTTGCTTTACCTCTCGTTACTCCCTGCCTTCTCGTCAGCATTAATAATTCTTATAGCTGGCTTCTAGTAAATGGCTTCTCATCCACTTTGTAGGCCACGTACATGGTAAAGGGCAGACCTGTATATAGACATAGTCTCCTATGTGCTACAGTCCCTGGTACTTGTACCCTGAAAGTCCTATTCTTCATACTTTTTGGGAGCAACTCTCACAAGAGTAAATTTGGCTGCTTCTCCAAAGCTGAATTGTTTTCCTAAGACCCCAAAACCAACATACCATGATACAATTTGTAGTGGTTCTGGTAGGTGGGGAGCTTGTGTTTTTTTGTCTTTGAATAAGGTTGTAGAGTCATAGTGCAGCAATTTAAACGTATCTTTTACTGAAGAGTGACTTTGATCTTTTTATAGCATTTTATTTAAGTTACCATATAGAATTCCCTGTGAGAGAGTTCTCTGCTTTGGAAGAAGAATCTCTTTAGGATTGTTCCTACAGAGAATCAAGGGAAAAAAAAAACAAAACAACGTTTTTCTGGGACAGTGTCGTTCCATAAATTGAGAGCTGTTCGTTATGTGAAATGCTCCTTCTCCTCCCCCCTGTCGTGGTCTCTGGTTCCACTCTGTGGAAGGTTACAGCCAAAACTGTGCCAAGGCATGCACCGTTGTTACCAGTGCTCCAGCATGATGGGATTGGATTTGCATCTGATAATTGAAATTGGGCAACAGGTTTTACATATCAGCATGCTGAGCAAGGAAAGGAGAGGACACTTTGTATGCACTGTGCTAGCACAGCATTGGATTTGTGAGTAATACCCTTAATGATAAAAGAGGATTTTTTTTCTTCTCAAAAGCTGAAAAGATCTCTCTGTTCTAAAGCATCAGGAGTTTATATAATCACTATTCATTGTTATTAGTATTCAGATAAGATGGTTTGACTATCCTCTTTCAGAATTTTGCCAGATGACCTTGAAAGTCATATCTACAGATCTAAAAGCCAACTAGTGGGATAAATATGAGTGCCTTTAACAGACACCAGTGGTCATGCTGAATTCACCCCAAAAAATTGACTTGGGAAATATCTCATGATTTCTCAGTTTCAACTCTGTAGGTGTGAACCCTGGGGAATTCACAGCAGCTGATTCAGTGTTGCAGCAGTTGTTTGTTTGTTTGTTTGTTTGTTTGCTGCTCGTGACTGATCTGGAAGTCAGTCATAGAAAGCTCCCATACTTAAGTACAACAGCATCCTAGGAATTTGCTGTTTACGTTACTGAAAATAGTAATTGTTTCTGTTAAAAATGACACTATAAACTACAAATAAGTTGCTCTTTTGCCTGCAGTTGTTTTTTCAGCACAGTAGAGTCGTATAGACTGTTCTGTCTTGTGTGTGAATGGTTTTAAAGAGGTTGCTGCTCTGTATCAACAGTCAAAGGCTTTCTTCTCAGCTGTGTAGAAGGTGAGGTGAATTCTGTGTTATGAAAGGTTGTAGGAAGTCTTGCCATAGTCTTATTGGAAAGTAGAGGCCAAAAAAACTTTTTAGTTACAGCTTGGAATTGCACAAATGAAGCTTAGTGGTCATTAGTCTGCTGCGTATTTCCAGTGAAATTGTTTCATTAGAATAAACAGTATTGCATTATTTTAGACTTCACACATTCCTTATTGGAGTAGGGTTTTGCATGCAGAGTCTTTTTGTTTCTAAGCAGATACTGCTTCTTTAAAGGTTTTCACTGATACTTGGAATGGCTGTGTTAGTGTACTGACAGCTGTTGGGGTCCAGCTGAATATTACCAGGTGGAACATGGTAGAAAAGAAGAATTAATACAAAAACGATAAATAACTGAAACTTAGAAGTTTACTTAGGATGCATTTTTTGTCAGTGCTAATATAAAGTATGAAAATTTAAAATCATGACCTGTATTTTCATTCACTTTAGTCTATGCAAGAGAAGCTTTTGCAAGAAAAGCTGATAGTGCAGAAGATAACAAATGAGCTTGAAGAAAAAGAAAGGAATATAGAGCAGTTAAATAAAACTCTCTCTGAAGTAAGTAAAATCTCCAATAACCCAACCCCTGACCACACCAGCTAGGAAGAACCTTACAGAATGATTATAAGATGCCATGGTAGGGCTTTATGAGCTTAATTACATACTTGACTGTGCTGGCTACTGTGCAGACACATCCCTACCTCAAAAAGTGAGAACATCAAGGGTAAAGGCTGCCAAGCAATGGTAACATGAAATAGACAGCCATGTAAAAGCTGTCTGTCTGCCATTCTTTGGAGGGGTAAAGAAGTATTGATTATATGTATGGAAACTAATTAATTTTTAATGTTTGCGGTTTGAAACAGGAAACTTTCTGCTACAGTGCATGCTGCAGACTAACTTTCTGCTTTTCCCCATTTACTTTTCACAAAGAACCAAAGACTGATGGAAGAGAATGCCTGCCTGAAGGAGCAGATGCGGCAGATGGAGCAGTCCAGGCAGCCAGTATCTGAGAAGATGCCTATAGCAGACCAGTTGTTCAAGGAAATGTCCCAATGCTTGTTTGACTTGAAAGCACTGTGCAGTATTCTTACCCAGAGAGCTCAGGGCAAGGAGCCTAACCTTTCCTTACTGCTGGGAATCAGATGTAAGTGATGTTGTCATTCCAATGCTTAATAGTGGTTTGACACAGAGGAGTAACAATTTAGCGAAGTGGTGCTCGAGCTCGCCAGCTGGACACGCCAGTGTCCCCCTTGCTATGCAGCCGGAGCAGTTGCATGCGAACTCCTGGAGCTCTCTGCAAAAGCCGGGCTTTTGGTGCACCTGGGACGCTGAATGCATGCGACTGCCCAGGTCCTTGCCGAGTCAGGAGAGCAGGTAGCTGGCTCTTCAGACAGACCCAGTTGTGGGTGCGTTCGCCCCACTAGGAAGGAAAGGTGTGCAGCCGGGTGTTGTGCCCTGTAAACTCATTAGGAGGGAGGTGAGGCATGAGCAGGCCCGGTGTGGCTACGTCACGTGTTTTTGTTTTAGAGCCCTTGGGGTCAAGTGGTAGGAATATGCATCTGCTGTTTGAATATGTATATATCTGGGGTGGGCATGGGGGTGTCTGTGTGTATTGGATAAGCCTAGTGCCAGGCAACTTGGTCTCCAGTACTGTTAATGGCACGTCTCGTCTTTAGCACATACTAAGCTGTTAAATTTAACCAGGAGATGGGAAGCACGCCCTAAAGCCAGTCAGTGTAGTGAATTTGTGATAGGTCTTTTAACAAGCTTGATAAACAATTACATTTTTTTGACCTGAGTGTATCTAGTTCTGATTAACATTCAGAAATCAATAGAATATATCAGACTGGTTGCTGAGCTGGACCATCAGCAAGGTAGAAAGGTAAAAGTATAGTGTCCTATGCAGCAGGAGCTACTGCATGCCACATAGCCTCCTCGGCCCTGCAAGGCCCTGAAGTGCTGGGGAGTGCAGCATATGCCAGTTCCAAAGTCCATGAGTCCGTCAGCACGATGAATAGTGCAGTGTATCTGTAGTAATAGCTCAACATCTTACATGGCCTCCTTTCCCAAGCCCTCCTATCCCTCTTCTCTGAGTGGCTATAGAAACCTCCTGGATTCCCTAGGGAATCGCTGTTCTACTCAGTTTTTTCACTGCTGTCGAGAGCCATCAGACTTTAGCAAGTCTAGAAGTTGGTGCAAACTGAAAAGCATGTCTTTCAGAGAAGCTCTGATGGGCCCGGAGGTTTAGCTCACACAGTACCACATTTTGTTGGCTTTCCATCATATTAAAGCGTGATTTGTCTTGATGTAATTAAAGTGTCCTACCTCTTTTTTTCAAAGGGGAGTGACTAGCTGAAGTGTTCACAGAGCACAGTTGCTAGAGCTTTAACCTTGGGTGTTGTTTTTCGTAGCGCTGAGCTGTTCAGCTGAAGAGAATGAACATTACCACAGCACAGAAACCCTTTCGAAGAAGCTCTTGGACGTTTGTCAGTTGCGAAAGGATATTGATGAATTAAGGACTATAATGTCGGACCGTTATGCTCAGGACATGGGGGACAATTGCATCACTCAATGACAACATTTCATCTAGTAGCAAATGACTTACTGAATGCTGCTGTGTCACAGGTCTTTGCATTTCTATTAAGGAGCCATATTGGAAGACTGCAGATAGCGCTGCACGTGCATCTCTCTGAGGATTGTGCGTATTTAATCCCAGGAGTCTGGCGGGGAGGGGAGCATCATCGTTTGAATGGAGTGGTACAAACTACAAGGAATCTTTTCTCCAAACTACTGAATGTAGGAACAAGCTGTGAAGAATGATTCAGTTGGATACTCTGTTTCCTTCATTAGAGCTCGTTTTATTACTTCACCTAATTTCTGGAGTCAGAGCATCAAAACAGCCGTGCTGCTACTGGTCTCAGTCCTTCCCTTCATCAAGGGTTTGTATATGCTATTATCTGTGTTCTGAAATTAGAGCAGAGGGTCAAAGGGCCTGTAGTTGTGTGTGGTGAAGCCAGAGGCTTCTGCAACTGCACTTCACTCTAGGATTTGCAATTGGAACAACCTTGGAGCGCTACAAAAAGTAGTTGCTCTTCAAGTTGCCTAAAAAATTTGGTATAAGATAGATGTTGGTTTTAGTAATGGATGTCTAACTTGTTTGCCCAATAGCAGAAGAAACCAAAGTTTTAACTCCTTTATGCAAATGAAGTCCATAAAATACAGCGCTATGAAATTGTTTTAAGCACTCTCACGTTGCTGTAAGAAGTTTCAGTAATACGAAGTCTGTGACAAATCCAGAGAAGCTGGAAGGCATGAAACTGCGGCGTAGCACATGGCTGTCAGGAAAAAAAGAAATAAATTGACTGTATGTTAGTGTGTGTACCGTACTTAATTTTCCCTTAGGTCATCTCCATTTTAAAATGTGGCTAGTCTGTGTTCCATCCCTGAAGGCCTCTGATGAGGTTCTGAACCATCTTAACCATTTTTACCACAGCTACAAAACGGGTGTTTGGCACTTGGCAAAATCAGGGCTCAGAACAGAATGTTTTCACTTGGCAGTATTAAGTGCTCGGTTATCTGAGGACTGCAAAATTTTCCACATTGTTTGAGAATTCTTGATTTCTCTATTTATTATGTAGGAAGCAATTACATTAAAAAAGTAAGATCATGTTCCATAGTTTACTCAGTGAGTGTCACTTGGCAGTGCTGTTTCACTCCTGTGGGACAAATGACGTATTAATGCTTCTGATTTCCTGGAACATTACTGCAAGTTAGCCGCACAGTTATGCATGGTGTAAAATAGCATTTAACTGAAGGAAACAAAAACTTGCAAAGAGCAAAACCACTCTCAAATCACACTGTTAAGAAAATATATGAGCATCACTTACATATATGGTATTAAAAGGAAGTTTCAGATGACTGAGGTGCAAGTCAGTCAACTGACCCGTACTGTGGATAATCTGTGGAGAAATCTTGTAGAAAGCTTAGCGGTTAGAAGCAAGTAAATTCTAGGGTAACATTTTTATGGCAAAAGTGTTAGTATCTTCAGTTTTCTGGTTATATTTATGTTAATATAAAAAAATGGTATAGCAATGTAGGCTGGTTACCAGTTTTAACTTGGTGATGTTTTTCTTTCTGTTCATTGTTAAACAGTTACTGTTAATGTCATTTTATAATTTAGTGATACAATTTTTTTTTTTGGCTATATAGACTTATTTATTTGACAGTTTTCTCTAGCCTGAACATGGATAATTTGTGAAACATGGACTAATTTGTGAAAAATAGCATTGCTATTTATATTATTGCTACGTGGTGTTCTCAGATAGATTAATCTGACTGGTTCAGCTCCTGTGAGCACTAAAACAGTATCTAGATGAAATCTCAAGTAAAATTGTCTAGTGTCAAGGTAAAAGTTCAAGGTAAAAAATGAGGCCATTTTATTTTAAATTCCTATGCTCTTTCGGTCGGTTTGAAGGTGTAATTTTATACTAGCGCAAAACTGAAAACGAGAATCTTTGCATGAATGGGCTTGCACAGTTCCCTGTGCCTCTAACAGTATTGGCTTTTGTGACTAGGGCCTCAGCTCGTTCCTTTGGTGTAGTTCGTTGGGTTTGGCCCTGCAGTGAAGTGATAGTCTGAAGTTTATGGCATCCCTCTCATATCAGAATTCAACAATAGCATTTCAGATGAAAAAAATAGAAGTATTAGGGAAAGCGGAAATACCTAAGTTGCACGTTATTATTTCCTTAGATGGAAATGTTGTAGCTATAAAAACGTACTGAGCAACACATGTTTCTAAATTAGGTGGAAATGAGAAGGAGTTTAATAGAGCAATTAGAGAGGAGCAGGAGATTTTTTGAGTCACTTTGAACTGTTAGGCTGGTCACTTGACTGGTGTGCCTCCACTGTCCCTCCCATTAAATGGTGATGCTGTACTGCAGAGTTGAGACCGGTAATTTATATTTGCAAAGCGCTTCAGGAGCTGTTATGCTCCTTAAGTATTAGTTAAAAGTCCTCAGGAAGGAGGTCCCATTTTATTTGTAATACTTTGATTGCAGTGCTGTAATCTTGCATTGTAATATTTTTATTACGGAACCTGTAATATTTATGTTGACTTTAAAGCACTTGATTTTTAAAACCCTGAGTTTATCTGCCTCAGTCAAATTAAAGTAGGGAGGTAAATGATGGATGTATGAGCCAAAGATGCAGACTACCAATTGATTACCTATAGTGATACAGTATTTTTGCTTTGATTTCTTAAAATTTGGCCTGTTGTAATAGTATCAGTTACTATATATGCATCAGTTTACAGATGCCTCTAAATGGAATAAGCTTTGTCTAAGATATGCATGATTGTTTAATTGGTTAAAATGTAGTGTGTGTGGTCTCATTCAGCATATTTAATACAGAGTTGATTAATGAATGTTAACATGGGAATTGCTTAGATTTAGTCATGACAACTTTTTGCTGTAGCTATTAGACAATCTCAAGGGCTGAAAAACAACCTGTGATGAATGGATACTGTACCGCTCTGGCTGTCAGCAAATTTGTACAGCAATTTTTTGTAAAGTTTCAGATTGAATATATACAGTCCTTTAGAAGATATTTACAGTAACTACTGTATTCAAGAATGTATTTTGAAAAAAGACTTGGAAAGTAACTGTCTTTGGACAAGCTATAGATGACGCTATGTATTTACTATATTGAAGTAGTGCAGCTCAGTTGTGTAAACATGATTTAGGCATCTAGCCTCCGCTGTGCAGCTTTGTAGCATGGTAGCTGTGTGGAACTGGAGATTGCTGTAACCACCCACTCGGGCTCTGGCATTCGAAGCTGCCGGTGGCCATGAAGTCGTTGCAAGAGCTGAAATTCCATCCTTTTCTCTTCAAAAGGCTTCCTTTCTTCCCATGCCCTTGCTGCCCACCTTTTGTTTCAAACGTTTTTTTGGACGTTTTTCTTGCAGGATAAGAGCACAAGGAAAGAAAGCAAGCAAACCGCCTCCTCCACAACCTGCTGCCCTAGCGCAGGCAGTGACGGCACGCCGCCGTCTCTCCGCAGGGGCGCAGGTAGCTCCAGGTTTCCTTATCCTTATCAAGGATGTGACGCAGGCGGAGCTGGAGGTATGATTGGGCTCTTGTCATTGATGTGTGACAAGGTCTGCCATGAGTGGGGAAGAGATCTTCTGAGCAAATCTGCATTCTTAGACTGCAAACAAATCAATGGTTATTATCTAAAGGGGTGATTTATTCCAGTAGCTCATTAGCAATATTAATTCCACAGCTGCATACCTTTGTGCCTTTTTTGCCTGGAGTAAGTGTGTGTTCCCCTTGAACTTTAGATAAGTTGTTAGGATGCTGATGACTGCACCTTGTTTTCCTCTTACCTGCCGATATTTTGTTTATAAGCTTTTCTAGTAAGAACTGTCGCGTAATGTCTAGAAACTGAAGTACTTCAGCTCGGTACTAGGTGTACACTTCGAATGTCGGGCTGGTCGTAGTATGCAGCTTTTTTGAATATGAAGCGTGAGCAGGAAACTCAAGTCATAATGTGTTTATTTTGTGTATATTAATGACAGTATATCATTAGTTCAGTGAGGAGGAGTGTCTGGAGCGATCTTTTAAAAGCACAGCTGACATATGTACTGGATCAGTCCCTGAAGACTGGTAGTTTTGTAAATTGGGTTCAATTTTTGAAACGCTCAGAATACCTCATATGTAAATAGAGTTGTCATGACTTAATCACAATGTGTTCATTGTAAAAAGTAAAGGGGCCACTGGCTGGCTCAGCTTTAGGCTTGTTGTTCTTGCCTCTTTTTGTAATTTTTTTTTAATGTAGGGTTTACAGCTAGAATTTTGAATGCCAAAGTTCTATTTATTAAATAATAATAAAAGTTTTCATTGTTAATGACTGGTATTTTTCCACTGGAATTTGTTTGTTGATGTTTGGGATTTGTATCCACAGAGCAAAAATAAATTTTGTTACAAAAGTGATTTCTTCATGGTTCTCATTTGTCCAGTATCTGGCATGTGACAGAAGTGACCAAAGCTGGACTAAGGGCAGGATCCAAGAAAGGAATTGTAAAAGGTCTTCCCAACACCCACCCCAGCTTCCCTTCAGTGGTCTGTAGACCTGCCTGAATATTAGCTGACCAAGCTCTCTTCCTGGCATTAATTTTTTTTTAAAAATCAAGGCCTTGGTAGCAAAAATACTGTTTCAGTGTAGTGAAAGTTGGAAAAGGCCTTTGAAATCACCAAGTCCAACCATCAGCCCTACCCTACCAAGCACACCCCTAAACCATATCTCCAAGCACCACATCTAAACGACCTTTAAACACATCAAGGATGGTGACTCAACCACCTCCCTGGGCAGCCTATGCCAATGTCTGACAGCCCTTTCAGTGAAAAAATTTTGCCTGATTTCAAACCTAAACCTACCCTGGTGCAGCTTCAGTCCGTTCCCTCTTGTTCTATCATTAATCACCTGGGAGAACAGACCAGCACCTACCTCTTGACAATGTCCTCTCAGGCAGTTGTAGAGAGCGATAAGGTCTCCCCTCAGCCTCCTTTTCTTAAGACTAAACAGCCCCAGTTCCCTCAGCTGCTCCTCAAGACTTATTCTCTAGGCCTT